CCGTCAATAGGACTGGTGAAATTCAGTACATAAATTATAATATCTATGAGGACTTGGGTTATAGGCAGGGTGATTTTATCGGTTTTCTGGTTGTGTCTGCGATGAGAAATTGCTACGATAATAAAAGATGGACTTGTAACATTTATTATGCTTTCACAGACACGACTCCAAATACATATGCAAGAAGTCCTGGTATGTTCACTAAAATATATAAGTAACTAAAATATTTTTGACTACTTGCAGTAGGTACTTTGTGAAGTCGGTGCCTCAAAAAACCAATGACGATACACAGTTTTGTCGTTCATTTAATTACATACATTATTATTTATTTTAGGTAGTCTAGAAGCTATTGCTATGACAGAGCATGTATTTGAACGAATTTCATATGAATTGGATATAGATCCACTAGACGTAAGAATGAATAATTTAAAAAAAGAAGAACAAGATATGTATGATGTTATAGAGACATTAATTAAAGACAGTGATTACCACAATAGAAAGATAGAAGTAGCGGAATTTAATAAGAATAATAGATGGATAAAACGCGGTCTACGTGTTGCTTTTATGAGTTGGCCGGGTCCGACGATGGTTGATTTCCACATCTTCATATCAATTTACCACGGAGACGGTTCTATTATAGTTAAACATGGCGGTGTTGAAATAGGACAGGGAATAAATACAAAATTAATCCAAACGATTGCTTTCATTTTTAAAATTCCGATAAACAAGATAAAGGTCAAACCATTTGATAACGCTTCTCTACCAAATAACTTTTCTACTGTAGCCAGCCGAACCACACTCTCAGTGAGCTTCGGCGCTATAAAATGTTGCCAGATTATTATGGATCGTTTGGCACCGATTAAGGTAGACGGTGTAGATAACCCAACGTGGGAACAAATTATACAAGCGGCGTATAGGCAAGGAGTTAATTTGCAAGCAAGTTACCACGTGACTACGGCAGACCAAGAGTCGCACAGATCAGCAGGGGCTGCTGTTGCCGAAGTGGAATTGGACGTACTTACAGGAGAGTCACAAGTACTAAGAGTGGATATTGTTGAAGATGTTGGTACGAGTGTAAATCCAGAGATTGATATTGGACAGGTAATTGACTTTATTTCTATATAGACCAGGCTATAAAAACATATTGCCAGCTACGCCTAAAACCTATGGCTATTTGTATATAAACATTTTTAGATTGAAGGTGCCTTCGTTATGGGACTTGGTTATTGGACATCAGAACATATGAAATTTGACATAAAAACAGGTGAACCATTGATAGATCGCGCTGCAACATACCATATACCTCTAGCAAAGGATATACCTATAGATTTTAGGATAAAACTTAAAAGAAACCATAATACTAGTGGAACTTTGGGAAGTCGATGTAAGTTGTGTTTTAAATATTTAAGGTTAATTTATTTATAGAATTTAGTTTTAACTATCATAAATGGAAAAACATATAACGTCGCTGATATGATAACCTCGTATGTCCAGTGAAACAAACATTACAGGAAATGAAAAAAATGTTTCATTTCATCAATGTTCGTTAAAATGTTAATATGTGTTTTTGTCCATAGTTTTAGATGGTATAAAGGACTTATTTATTAATTACATAAATAAGTCCTTACTTCATGACTACACCAGTTAAATGACATAAGAGTCTAAGGGTCTGTTTCACAATGTATGATAAAGTACCAAATAGCTATGCAACAATTATTTGGAAGATAAATTGTGCTATTGGACACCCCATCGGACTCATAACTTATGATGGACTTTATGTGACGAATAGCGCTATCTGACAGTCGTGAAACGCAACAATAGTGTTTATCCTACCAATAAGTAATAAATAGCTAATTTGGAACTTATGTAGAACATATCCGTACATTGTGAAACAGACCCTTAGAATAAAAAATAAATAGTTTTCTGACATACGAAGTTATCATTCTACAGTGACGATAATAGCTGTAAAAGTATTTTAAAATTAAGAAAGTTCAGCTACGGAATATAACCGTGTTCGTCTGTATCAACACACTTGAAAGAACAAAGATATTGTTTTAACAACACATTGCTATATAACTATTGAGTATCAATTTGTTGTTTTATGACACATATCAAACCCTCAGAATTAGGATGTATCTAATTAAAAAAAAAATATTTAAGACAAGATTGACTGATTGAGTAAAACTGTTTCACCATTCATGTAAATATATTTTTGATGACTCCTTTATACTCCAGAATCTGGCAGCTGGTTTCCGTACTATATTTGTATAACTATAGTAGGCATTAAAAATATGTAATTTTTCCACAGCGGTGTCTGAGCCAGCTATGTGCTTAGCTGTGAGTGTAGCTTTTGCTTTAAAAGCAGCTATTTCTTCCTCCAGAGAAGATTCTGGCTACCCACGCAACGAATGGTTTAAAGTTGGTAAGATTTATAGTTTTCATTTGTTTACTTCACTGGTCGTAATTCAATATAACTACAGCGCCATCATTTGAAATCGAAAAACATTACTTTCTCCTTGTTAATGTTTATATATTTTCAGATGGTCCATATACATTGGAGGCTAATGTTTTACATTCAAACGTTAAGATGGATGAGTTTTTGTTCCGATAACCATTTACAATCAAAGCGTAAATTGCCAGAAATTCGGACGGACGTTCTGGAATTCGCGTTACCATAAATATAATCTTTTGCTACTAAAGACATGGGAAGAAATTGGCTGTGCCAGAAATGATGATTGATGATTGATTTGAATTGTATAGGAAAAATATCCTATGTGGCAATCAAGGTTTATAATTATATAATTTACCAAAACATTCAAAGATCTTCCTTCCTACTAGATTTTTTTAAAATCGACCTAATATACTACTTTTGGAAAAAAATATTCTATTAATGCGTAACATCATAATTAATATTAATTTGATATATAATAAGAATAGACTATAATGTTATGTAATATATAAACTTCTATGTAAAATTCTACCATTTGAGACAAATTTGCATGCAAAATATGAAAACTTTAGATTGTACCACCATAACATTGTTGTACCATATTCTTGCAAATAAATTATTATTATTATTTGCTCTACTACTTGAGTGACTTGAGTGACTTGAGTTCTGAACCGTTTTGGGTAATGTTTTAAAAGCATACTTAGAAAAGTTTACTGACTAAGACTAAAACAACGTGTATGCATATACTAGAAAATATAACATCAAAATTTTACAATAAAGTAATTAAACTAAAACTAAATAGAAACTTAAACCTCATTAAGAGCATGATAAACACGGTAAGTTGGAAAATTGTTGTAATATTAATGTCATTGGAGACACTTGCTACATTTAATCAGTAATATTAAACAGTTCTTTACCACCGTAGAAATGCAAGTTTATAATTACTAGGTTACGACATACTGATTTCAGTCTTGCGATTGTGTAACTCACCTTCAAACTCGTACAGCGGTTTTCGCAGTGGCGGTCACGCTCAAATCAGTCGTGAAGCAGTCATTTTACGATTTGGCATTTTGATAAGGAGGGAGCTTGTAGTTTATTGTTTATCAAAATGCCAAATCGTAAAATGACTGCTTCACGACTGATTTGAGCGCGACCGCCACTGCGAAAACCGCTGTGCAAGTTCGAAAAATGAGTTACAGAATCGCAAGGCTGAAGTACGCTAGTCACTAACCCAGTCAGGCATAAAACTTCAATCTAATACTAAAATAAGCTTTGTCTTTAATTACTTTTTTTAGAAGGAGAGAAATACAAAGTGTACTTTAACTGTAACAGTGTAACAAGTCTTTGTACTGATAACAATATACAATTATATTTAACGTCCATTATTTAATTTTGTAAAGCAAGTACATTCTACAATAGTTATTTTTTTGCTTAACCAAAAGTCCTGTTACCTACATGAATAAATGATTTTTGACTTGACTTGACTTGACTTTTATGGACTTTGATCTGGTACTTGTACGCTTACGAAGTCAGCATGTTTTTTTTCTCTTTGCAAGTAATCGACAAGTTTGTCGTATCACCGCAGAATGGGTTATAAAGAAAACAATATCCAACATTCATTATAATTTATTACAACATCAATTTACAAACAATATAATTAAATTAATCATTTGTTTAATATAATTTTAGCATTCACTGACACGTTTCGGCAGCGAAGTTAGAGGACATTCATGTCGGCCCCGCTGTGAAATAAAAAAGCGTGTGTGTACTTATGTACACGCGTTAGAAGTTATACTTCTTTGGCGTAACTAGATAAAAATCTTTTCAAAATTTTTATTCTACGTTAGTAGAAATAACGACACTAACAATAGAAAAAAACTACAATGTTGACTATAGCTAACTTCAGGGTGTCGGATTTTAGGACGGTGTGCGCGCGCATCGTAAAAATTTACTCTCATCATTTTTCCCTAACGCGCCAAAAGAAGTATAACTTCATAAAGTAATAGTATTTTTTATATGAACATTTAATGTATCATCACTGTATAAAAATGGTTTACTTAAAGAAAAAACTTTTTAACCGGTTTTAAAGTTATGTATTATTATAATATATGTATATATATTTTGGTCGATACCAACTCCGGGGAAATAAATACAGATAATGCAACTTTCTCTAGAGCTGTGATACTTTTTGACATCCAACACCTTTTGTCTTCAGTAACCGTGACCACGCACGCTGTAAAGCACGCGAAACGTCGGATAAATTTAAAATTATGTTAAATAATTGTAAGTTTATAATAATACATAACTTTAATCCGGTTAAAAAGTTTTTTCTTTAAATGTGTAAAGGTTATGTCAATCAAAGACAATACTATGGTTTACTTAATATAGTATTTACGTAATTATACGGAAAGTTAAACTGTTTAATTATGTTCTTTAAGAGAACTTATGGTTCCTATATCAATGTTTTGTATACAACATTTCTAAAAGCCTCATATATTGCTTGAAAGCTCTCTAACTTACGTTAATAATATGAAAATAAAGATAAATTGCATTACACTTCTTCCCGACAGTTTAGTTCTTTGTAGAAGCTGTTGCATAAGAGGATAGCGTAGACATTCAGACCTGAAAGAAATACATTTTTCTACAGAAGTCTATTGTAAAATAAATTATCCAGGCGTCATTAGAGTTGTAGTTTTCCCTACGAAATTACGTGCCATTTATGGTAAATTTTCTCGTTATATTTTAAACTTTAACTTATTCTTGAAACCTAGGCTTTCCAGGCTAATAAACGTAAATTAATCAATAAAGCTTTTTATAAATTTTACCATTATTTAAATGATCCTAAGCCTTGGGATTGATTTGTTCCAATTCAAACGATTTGTATGATTCAAAACTTGGCAAATAAAAAGAGTGGAGAGTTTCTTGGCAGTTCTTCTTGCCCCTTGACTTGCGAACTGGCAGTAAATGTAAATTTAGAATCAATTTAACATCTTTTCTGTTGGCGTTCATAAGTGTACTTGGTTATCTATATGAATAAAGTTATTTTGAGTTTGAGTTTGAATAGAAATAATGATTACAGCAAAGATACAGATGATGATAAAGTATAAATATGTTTTGTGAAATTAAAGTTATTCTAAGTGTACGAAGATTTTTAGATTTATTCTGTACTCAACATTTATTGGAGTGAGTATATACAATAAATATGATATGAGTGAATTGAAACTTTTGCGATATAGTTTTTACCTGGGAAGTTCTTAACATAACAATTGATCGACGATCTGTCGATACGCTAAAGTATATATATGTGTATTAGAATATGCAAAAAGATCACTGACGTTTAGAATTGAAATATATAATAATGATTACATATATATTTACTTTGTAAAAAAAACATGGTACTTATTTTCTTAGACATCAATGTACTTACTGATGTAAAACACTTCTATACATATAGTGCCAGCATTGTAATGTGGGGCATTCAGGAAGAATGTGAACATCGACAGCAGAAAGAAGACAATCCACATCACGAAATAGGCTCGGATAATCGACGCTTTTTCCTGTAAAACAAATAATACTATAACACTGAAGTAAGAAAAGCAGTGTTGGCTTAGAGGCTTCAGCGTGCGATTCTTAAGTTTAGTTTCTAATTATTCTTTAGTTAATACGAAGGGCTGCCTGTGCGTCCACCACCGGGGCTGAGCATCCCGGTGGAGGACACCCAGAGGGGGATTCCCCACCGCGAGCGCGTTTGGTACCCCCCTGGGGATGTTTCCGTTTGTTCTGCGAAATATGAAGATATTTTTTGTGCGACAGACAGGCGCGAACTATGACTGGTATGAACGTATTTAATTGACAAAAGTACCTCAAAATTATAATCAGTAGAATTAAATGTATTATATTACTGTATGTAGAGCAGTGTTGGCCTAGTGGCTTCAGCGTGCGATTCTCATACCTGAGGTCGTAGGTTCGATCCCCGGCTGTGCACCAATAGATTTTCTTTCTATGTACGCATTTAACATTTGCTCGAACGGTAAAGGAATACATCGTGAGGAAACCGACATGTCTTAGACCCAAAAAGTCGACGGCGTGCGTCTAGAACAGGAGGCTGATCACCTACTTGCCTATTAGATTTAAAAATGATCATGAATAGATTCAGAAATCTGAAGCCAAGACCTAAAGAGGTTGTAGCGGCACTGATTTATTTATGTATGCAACGCAGTGTTTTTTTTTTTTAATGGCTCTGGCACGCGTCAAGTATAGAATTTTTTTATAATTCGTGCTTTGTCTTTAGAAATTCGACCGTGTCCTCCATGTACGGTTTAAGCACTCGTCCGCTACCGGACAACCCTCCCAAAGGCCGAGAACAAATTTAAATTAAATTAAAACTTGCCCTTGAACCGGGAATCGAACCCGGTACCCCTCACCTAGCTGCCACTTAATAAGACCGCTAGGCTATGAGGCCCCGAACGAAGTGTTAATAAATAAATAAAATATTGTTTCTTACCATAATAACTCCATAAATGAAAACAATATCGGTGCAAAGTTTAAATAAAAACATCAGTACTAAAATTATGGACATCGCATACAATCCAGTGATTGCTGCCTCAGCGTTGTAATCTTCTTCTTCAGCTGCCATTTCTTTATACGGCTCCAGGGTACAAGCTTCCACTATCATTGCTACGAACATGGCGAACGAACCAAACTGAAAAAAATACATAAACTATATTATATATATTAGATTCTCGTGTCACAGTTACTAACTACTTTGAAACTGCATTGGTATGATTTTTTTGTGGACATAAATAAGTCGTGAATTATTTGTTATGTACCTTTAAAGTATTATTATATTATTTAGATAATAAATGTGGCCACACCCAAATTTTTATTTTTTGGATAAAATGTTCGCCTTCTATCAACATTTTTAATATTAAAAGTAGTTCTGCAATAATTATAGCTAAGTTTTATTATCGGACGTCAAGGCATAACACAAAATACCATCCGTATCACCTCGACGTCCGTCGTTCCACAACTGAGCGTTTTCTAAGGCAGTTTTTGCCGCGCTCCACCACTATGTGGTGAAGGTGTGGTCACCCACTGAAGTATTTCCGAACCAATTCGACTTAGGGTCCTTTAAGAAAATAGCGTACCAATTCTTGTAAGGCCGGCAACGCACTTTCGAGCCTTCTAGCAATGTTAGTGTCCATGGGCGGCGGTATCACTTAACATCAGGTCAACCTTCTGTCATAAAACATTTATACGAGTATGTCAAAAAAATGTTTGCCGGGCGAGTTAGTAGTCTAATAAATAATTTTATTTATGATTTTGGTAAAATTGAATTCAAAACCTTACCGCACTCAAACTTCCCATTATAATGTTGCCAGTCTTTAAATCAAATATAAAACAACAGGTCTCTAAACGAGGTAATCCCATTCTGAAAAGAAATTTAAGAACGTAAAGTTAGGTACATAATAAAAGATAAAAGCCAATTCAATTTTTAATGTCGTTTTAAATTTATATTATTATACATAGAATCCCATTAATTTTATTTAATTCTAACTAGAAATATACATACATTTTCATGATCTGAAGTAATAACATTTATTTAATATGAAAAATCTGGACTTACTTGTAAAATTCTTATATCCTTTGAGGACGAACTAATAACTCCCTAAGTAAACGTCGAGGGATGAAAAGAGACTGAATGAAACGCTGAGAGGAGAGGTGGGACATAGATGGTGTTAATACATATAGAAATACAGATGTAGCAAATCGCTCAGGCAGTATATTCTTAAAGAATTAAGAAGCATATACATTCAAAATAAAATACATAACATTACATTGTTTTTAAATCTACTAAATAATTAATGAAATGTAGCACTAGGTAGATTAACTAAACTGAAATAAGGAACGGCATAAAAATTAAAATTTCGTGAAGAGAATTTATGAAATAATAGTATTTTATATTTTATGCAAAATAATTGTTAAATTGAAATCTCAAATGACGAATTGTAATTTAATATGCCACGTGTTTTTATATCGAAGAAATAAATGTAAAAAAATTAAATTTATAATTTGTATTAATTTTCGACACTTAATATTTTAATGACAATTAAATTCATTAAATCCCTAATATATCTTCGATTTTCCCTCCCTCTAAGTCTCGGAAATCTAAAGTTTTAGATTTGTATAAATATGAACAAAACCTAAAAATTTGTTTGCCAAAGAAGTTTCACTTCTCACATGTGTACTTGGTACACACGCACTTATTTTATTTCTAAATTGTCCCAAAGTTTATTGTCATATCTACGTTTTTGCTCTTTGTGATGCCCAGGCGTCGAGATGTCTGGATATTGAATCAATGACGCCAAAACTATGCCGACATAGTAATATATGTACCCATTGATTTTGCCTTATTAATAAGGCATTATTTATTAATAAAAGGTTATAAAATAATTCGTTCGCATCTTTATATGTCTTATTTTTCAACAACAACAAACCTTTTTATAAATTTGAGGACTACTTAAATGATCCTAATCCTTGGGATTGATTTGCTCCAGTTCAAACAATTTGTATGACAATACTTGGCGATTAAAAAGAGTGGCGGAAAGTTTCTTGCCAGTTCTTCTTACCCGCTCTACGCCCTTGACTTGCGAACTGGTAGTAAATGTAAATTTACAATTACAGTCAAAACCGTTTATAACGACATCGTTTACAACGACCTATCGGTTATTACAACCAGATTGTATGGTCCCGTCCGAATCCCTAGTAAACTATTCAGTAAATAAACCGCTTATAACAACATCGGATACAGCGACATATCGCTTACAACGACGAAAGTTTATCGATATTCATCGGCTATAACGACCAACCGCTTCTTGTCTCAGCAAAACAAAACAATACAAACGATTTTAAATCTTATTTATAAGCATTGAATGAATATTTAGGCATATTATTACTTACGCACTTTCTCCCAACGAACAGTTTCAGCCAACAACGATTCCCGAGGCCCTTAACGCTGTAACGATGTTGCAAAAATTTGTTGCCTTTAACGATCAGTTTGATACTGGTGATACTCATACCTTGAGGAGTATGAAACGTAAAATGCAAAAAATATTTGAGACTGGGCTAAAATAAATATAGTTTAAAAAAACTAAAAAACACGCTTTTAAAGCACATCAAACTAAAAAGTGAAAAATAATTCCTAATTTAGGCGGAAAATGGTAATGAACAAAAAATACTGGTATTATTGTGAAAAAGCGTGGGCGCGCTCTGTGCCATATTTTTCCTCTATCGAGCAACCCAAGCTTTTTCACAAAAATACCAGTATTTTTTGTTGTGTGAATTATTTTCCACTTTTTAGTCCTAGCAGCAATACGTGTTGTCTCAATTTAATCGTATTGCTTTGTGGACTTTAAAAAAATGTCATTGTTTTTTCGAGATAAACCTATGAAATTATTATATTGTCGCTGATTCTTTATAAATGTACAAAGTTTGAATTAAATCTGTCCGTTTAATGTGGGTCAAAATCGAGTCCGAAGGAGTCGGTTACATACATACATACATACAGTTGAAGCTAATATAAAGCGTGTAAAAACAGACCAAAATGACTGATTACTTTTGTACCTAATTATTTCGTAATAAATATTTTTGTTTCTTTTTTGACTCGTTTACATATTATAATATTAACATACCATATTATATCCCATACCTACCAACCTATTCTAGATCGATAACTATGTTCATACATACAAGCCGTCGGAAATATCTGCGAACCTCGCTGGAATGCGCTTCCCCTGGCGCCCCCGCACCCCGCCCCGTTTTCGCCTATCCAGTACCGTTGCCAACGCAATCGCCGACGCCGCACGTGTATTATTCTTGCTTTCGTAATCGCATTTTAGTGTTTATTGTTTCTCTGTTTGGTGAAATATTACATAAACTACCTATTTAGTGCTGTATGTAAGATGGGTAGGTACGAGTATCAATAAAAATAAGTACACAAATAAAATATTTTTTATTTTTACATCTTCAATTTTTTTGCTATCTCTCCAGTTTGTATGACGTCATTAAGCCAGGTTCGCAGATATTTCCGACGACTTGTATGTACTGTACTTGTGTATATGACATTGCTTATAACGACTATCGGATATAACGTCGGCAACTATATGGTCCCTTCAATGTCGTTATAACCGGTTTTGACTGTAATTTAACTTGACAATTCAAAAGTGTACTTGGTTACCCACTTGAATAAAGATATTTTGAGTTTATTGAGCGTTTTCAAAGGTAATTTTTGCCGCGCATCACCACTATGTGGAACCAGCTGCACACTGAAGTATTTGTGAACCAACTCCACTTAGGGCCCTCCTAGAGCGTACAAAGTTTATATTGTTACGACAACGGCCTTGCAGTCGCGAGCCCTCTGGCATTGAGAGTGTCCATGGGCGGCGGTATAGCTTTACATCAGTCACTTTTAGCCTTGACAGTTTGGCCACTGTTCTACAAAAAAAAAACAATGACAAAAAAAATGTCAGAAGTGAAACTTCTTTGGCAAACTAATTTTTAAGTCTTGTTCATATTTATATCTAAAACTTTTGATTTCCGAGACTTAGAGGGAGGGAAAAAGGAAGATATGTTAGGAATTTAATTGTCACTTATAATACCACAAGAGCTTCAAAATTATCGGGTATTTCCCGATAGGTTCGTTGCAAGCAAATAAAGTCGTCAAGTTTTTCAGGTTAAAAAATTTAATTTAAAAGATTTTTTAACCTGAAAAACTTGACGACTTTATTTGTTTGCAGGGAACCTTGAGGGAAATGCCAGATAATTTTGAAGCTCGTGTGGTATTCGGGGGATTATTTTTCCGTCCCAAATGTCGGCCAATAGAATTGCACCATGAGACGAAATGTTCAGTTAACAAATAAGAATTTCATAATATATATAGCAACTACCAGAGAAAATTTTCAAAAAATTATCAGTATAATACCATGTAGGTTGTACCACGTGACGTCGAATGGTGCAATTCTATTGGTCGATATTTGGGTCGGAAAAATAATCATTAAAATATTGAGTGTCGAGAATAATACAAATTATAAATTTAATTTTTTTAATTTATTTCTTCGATGATAACCACGTGGCATTTTAATTTACAATGCGTCATTTGAGATTTCAATAAATTATTTAGCATAAATTTTAATGATAAAATTATAATTTCTTTAAGGTAACTCACCCTTCTCACTCTCTCTTAATCGCTCTCTCCCTAAAGAGCCTGGGCCTAAAGAAGTTTCACTTCAAAAAATAAAGGTGTGACTAAGTGGGGTAAATGAAGTTAAAGTGAATTGAAAAGAAAAACAGCACTTTTGTATATTTATTTATTCTAAAAATTTGTATTAGTGGATACCATGTGGCATATTCTCGTGATTCTCCGATGTTTTATATACTACGGCAAAGATGAAACAAAACATAATGTCGAGTACTGAAACATAAAAACACATTTCATCAGTGTCATATCAAAATATTTATCAAATTAATTCATTATGAATCAATTAAATAAAACAAAAAATAAATCGTTTTTATTCTGATCTTTCTCTATTAATTACAGCGTACACATAATTAAACAGAAAAAGAATATAATACTTTAGTTAAAAGTGCGCAATTGGACTGATTTAGTTTTTATTAAAAAAGTAAATCTAATATATAAAATTCTCTTGTCACAATGTTCGTTCCCATACTCCACTGGAACGGCTCGACCGATTCTTATGAAATTATGCATTGCTAAGTCTGAGTATTGGAAAAAAACTATTTTTCAATATCCTGAATGTTAAGGGTGGTTCCACCACTAAATTTTAATTTTTAATTTATAAACAAAAATTTTTGTTTTTAATTTTTTTGATACACACTACCCTTAATTGTCACCCCTCTACGATCAACCCCTTTTTTATTATAGTAGATAGTTACTTTTATTGAACTAAAAAAATGTTTCCTAGAAATAATATCAATGGCAAAACGACGTTTGCCGGGTCAGCTAGTTTATCTATAATAACCTTTCTGGTATTGAAAATCTTTTCTATACAACAAAGGTGAAGGATGACTCTATTTGATTCTTAAAGACTTGTGGAGTAAGGTTGGTGTTCCTCCAGTCTAAAGAGAGACCTCCAGAATAACCACTGACTGACCCGAAAGCCCCAGTATTTAAGATCGAGAATCTGCATATATCGCTTCGTTAGCGCTTTTCAGGATATGAGTCATCGTAGTGATGGCCCAGATTGTAGATCGCTACACTTTTTAGTATTTCTAGTAGTTTAGAAATATTAATCAGGTTTTACTTACATACAAAGATAATGTTCAGAACGTAGAATGCTGAGTTCATATAATAGAACAGTTGAAAAAGTTCATCGTTTGGAACAAGTGCGAATTCAAATGCATACAACACCGTA